TTATCATTATTATTATTATTATTGTTGTTATTATTGTTTCTGGTATATCATTATTATAACATTCACATATTATGGAGTATGAACAACGATAATATTGAAACCATTAAATAGCATTAAATATTGTAATTCGTATTACTAATTCGGCAGCATTAAATACTTGTATCATTATCATAGTTAATATTATGATGCCAGTGTTAACAATGTTATTAGTACTATTATTATATTAACGAAAGTATATTAATAATATGTATATTATACCTTTCACAAAACGTGGCCCAAAAACAGCAGCATAGAAGTGGGACTGATACATAACAGTGACCAGCAACACAACAACAAAGTAAGTAATAACATTAACTTCAACTTCAACAGCAACAACAACAACAACGACGGCACAGCAACAACATCAAAGAAAAACCAAACAAGAACAGTGATTTGAATATCCATAACAACTGTAAAAAAAAAAAAAAAAAGAAGAAAAAACGAATATCAACAACGTCAATATGACCAATGACCAACAACAAAAAATAATAACAGCAACAACAACAAAAACAATAACAACAACAGCAATAACAAAAACAAGACAAACAACAACAATAATAATAATGTTTATAATATTAAGAACAAAATGGGTATCGACAAAAAGAACACCAATAACTAAAACATTAAACACTTTCAGCAAACAACTAGATCTACAACAAAATTAGAAGAAGAAGAGAAAACGCGCAGGAAAAAAAAGGTTGGGAAGAGAAGAAGGGATTCGAGATAAGAGGAAAGGAGAGAAAGAGAGAGAAGGAGTGTGAGAACCTATGGAGTGAGAGAAGAAGAGTAAGGGTTGAAAGAGGGAGAAGAGGGTGGGTGAAAAAAGGGATGAAAGACGAGACGTCGTGGAGAAAAGACAAGGCAGCTATTAGAATTAACAATAAGATCAATTATAAGGCGTCATAATTAAAATTTAACCCCTGCTTTCTTCCCCTCAATTTTCCTGTCTTTGTTCTTCGTATGGCAGTCCTCTCCACCTGTCTTTGTTTATACCCC